CAATTGTTTGCTACAGTAGATCAGGATAATATAAGAACAAGAAATAGACAACATTTTCACGAACCCTTCTCGGCAAAACGTTATCGTGCACAAATAGCATCATGGATAGGACCGCGTGTCTGGAATAATGTCGTTGCATCCCAATTCTCTATAACAACCATTAATCAGAGGGGTGTTCACGGGCACCGCACACTGCTGCGTGCGCTGTGTGCGGTGCGTCCAGCAGGCGTGGGGGTAGGGGATGGGTAGGCGGTTCTGACGTCACGGCTGCGTGCGGTGGACGGTCCGCTGTGGCCAGTCCCGACCGGCCACAGCGATCGCTGTGTGCGGTGACGGAAGGCTGACGTAGGGACGCAGTGGGCGGAGCTTGGAGGCTGTGTGCGGTCCGACCGCACACAGGGCCCGTGAACAGCCCTCAGATGTCTAAATCTCAGCTAAAAAGACACGTCAAAGCATACTTCATACAAAATATGTAAGCTTTTTCGAGAATTTCCTCTTGAATTCTCGCTATCCTTTCATTGCAACTTAATTTCAAATGTACTTGCCTCAAAACTGCACTAATTGCAAGTAAATCACGTTTCATCGAAATTATTTTCATCATCGTCACCATGAATAACTCTGGCGCTGGAGCAAGGAGCCTGACCAGCAACAAGCTTCGCTTAGCTGGAAAGGCTTTTCTGCCCTCAGCATTGACCGGCCGAATTTTTGACCAGAGCGAATCCCCACGTATGTTTGCATGACGTGTGAATGAGCGATTGTTTTTTCTACTCTAGATGAATGCATGCCCTTCTGAGTGAAAGTTGCTTTCGGTATCGTAGTAGAGAACAGTCATCTGTCTGGTTTCAGCAGTGGCTACTTTCGCATTCTGTTCTTGTCTCCGCCTAAACCCGCTACCCCTTCTCTCATTTGCTTTTTTTAGTTTTATTTCCTTTCTTAGCAGGGAGTGCCGCGACTTATCAGTTTATTTTATCTGGTGTTAACGTAAGGTTCTGCTAGTCGCTGGGTTTGAGGGCGGGGGCACTCCTGGTCACCTGATCATGGGTGGCGGAGTAGTTCGAAAAAAAAAAATAACAGGGGAGGGACGGGGAGGAGTCAACTCAACCGGTTGAAACTTGGGAAAGAATCTCGTTGGATCTCCAAAGAAGTGGAAGAACATTGCTGCAGGGCCAGCCATGTAGATCATTAGTCTGAATGGACAAGCATAATTTAGCTAATGCTATTTTTTGCACTTGTTGTGCAATGTTGGTTAAAAGTTACGGGCTATGATAATAAAATACATAGACTAAGGGTAGCACTGAACATCTAATTCCATCACAGGTCGCACCATTTTCCATTACAGGCTACAGACGACTCGGTAAATGTGATGTCGTTGGTGTGAAGCGCCGACTGTGGTGGAATTAAATGTGGCGCGATCAATCGATCTATTTGGCTGGTGGCCGGTCACGGCCGGGCGTGGGTCGGTCGGCGAGCTATCTCGCTGCCCCCGGGGGGCGGATCGGCGGCCGGGGAAGGGCTGTGGTCGATTGTCGGACGCCGTCCGTCTCGCTGTGCCCCCGGGCTATTTTCGCTGCAGACTGATATTGGTGAAGCTCATGTCGCTCACTTGAGCTGGCTGTTCCGCGACGGCTGTCCTATATCTTAGTGTCTAGACGCCGCTGTAATGTCGTTCGAGGTATCAGGGGGTACTGTCGCAAGCTCTGCACACTACACCTAAAGGCTGTACCTAAAGGTTGAACGGATCCCTTCAGTCTCCGCTGGCTTCTGGTCATGACTTAAGTGGTGTGAGATATAGACTCACGTCGTCGTCATTCAATATGCAGACTTGACCAGCGCGGCGGCTCGCGTCGCGATCGCTCGCAGCTTCTGACTGATGTAACAGTCACGGCCTGAATTGTCGAGAAGCTGTGATGGTGTGTTCAAACCACCTGGGGACGACTGCAGCAGTGACAAGTGGCTGCCGTCGGGGCGGATCTGATCGAGCCACCTTCGTGGCACCGACAGATTGGTGGCCGGCGGAGAGGCTATGTCACAACAATAGAGACACAGCGGAATCGCCCGATCTAGACCGTGCAGACGCCGTGCATGAAGGGAAGGTGCATGGATGGAAAACATGTCGGGGACAGCCCGATGTCGTGGACAGCTCTCAGATGGGACGGGCCTGGACCTCGCCTGGCTATGTTTCCATGGCAGTTATGAGCAGGGTTGGATCAGGGATCTTTACGGTCCTCCGACTATAAAAGTTACCATACATCATAGAATGTCATTGATGGACGATGGTAGAGGGACCGCAGAGTGCCTGAAGGAGGCTCCGATTGAGCGGCATGACTTATGAGACCTCACCTCCCAGCCCAGCTCCAGCTCCAGCTCAGCCTCGGAGTCTCAGGGGCGGCCACACCCTCAGACCTGGCAGCATCTCGTCTCCAGCGCCGCTCTAGCCGTGCCAGTGCAGGGGCTGATCCACATGGTCAGCCCGGCCCCGGACTGATACGTAGTCGGCGCGGACTGATCCACAGTCGACGTATGACTGATCCTGGCTTGGGGCCTGCCGTAAGCGTCTGGACGCCGTCGGCTATCGCCATGTGTCATAGACATTGTCATAGACATTGCTTTCAGACGTGAGACGAATGTGTCACTGGGTGCCGGGGTGTCTGCAACGATAAGTCGATAACCAGATCAGAAGTCGGCGCTCGTCTCTTGCGGCTCGTCTCTTGCTGCCCAGGACGAACGTAAAGTGATGCATAGTTTGCACATAATGTAGTAGGCTGAAGTGGCATGTGGTATGGTGAGGGCTGAGAGGCGCGATGATATTGTGGTATGACAGATATAGGCATGGGGATGTGGAAGCGACCATACCGACCTTCATAGTGTGACATAAGAATATTTATCCTAAGGGAGCAAGTGGACTGGCTCATGGCTGTCAATAGCGAAGCTCACCTGCAGGTCAGGCATTGAAACCTCAATTATACCCGGGCGCCAGAAATTTCCCGCCTGCACACTATCTAGTTGGGTTAGGAATATCCTGCCGTCTAAAGTTTCTCACCTGATCCTCCTCTCATGGTTGAAGTTTTGATATACGAAAGTTCAAGAGCCCTGGCTGGGTATATGCCAGCTGTTACTTTCCCATTAACTGTGCTAGTGCTCTGTGGCTATTAAGTCTAAAAATAACTATGCTTGTTTGATGGACTTTCATCTTAAATTTAGATGCGCCGGATCTGCAGGCTCTCAAAAGACGTAAACTAGTTCTCGTGCTTACATTAATGGGAAAGTTAATTTCCAATGCAGAGCGCATCCTGTTAAGTGCACAAAGTATCGATGCGAGGTATTATTGCGATTAATTTCCAAGTTTTGTTTTCGACCATCGTTGACAATTTGACTATTGAACCTAAAGCTTTATCTATAAGATAATAGTTGCTGGAATTTATCGACTCTTTCGCCTCTCAGGATCATCTCAACGACGATTCAGCGCATTGCATTCATATGGATCTTGGGCTTCAATTGGCGTGGGTGTGTCCAGGTTTTTGATCTTATATTAGTTTGAGGTCTCGCGCCTTTAAAGTGCCCTCCGACCTGTCCCGGCGGCACGTGCGGTGACAGGTGGTCGGCCCAGGTCTCGTAACCTGTCAGTAGTGATAGTGACACGGCGGGTGGCCGGAGAGGAGAGCGCCGCCCGGTCGGTAACTGATAGTGACCCTCCCCCGACCCGGAGCGGTGCTTCGTGGGGGTCAGCCCCGCGGGGCAGCAGGTCAAGAGGAGGGGCGGGGAGGGAGAGGAAGGGAGGGGAGGGCCCGGAGGGACGATACCGATCGATTTTGTCTACCAGGAAATGGAAAAAGAAAAACAACACTTGACATTTTGTTTTGCTGCCGGGTATCGCAGCATTCATAAATTAGTGACAAAGACTTTTGTCTTCTAAATCATGGAGTACTTACCTCATGCAGCTGAACGGTGTGTATTGCGATGCGGTGCGTTGTCGCATTTAACCTGTCATGTTATAATTATGTTTTTAAGCCTATCGACATGAGACACAGTCATCGCACCAGCAGTAGGGGAAGTTGGGGCAATGCCGGAGTTGGGGCAAAGCCGAAATTCGAGATATTTCGAAAACCGTAAGACATGGATGCCACCTGTCAGTGATGCTCTGAAGCTTAAGTGACTACAATTATCGCATGTTTGTTACGAGTCGTCATTCGGAATACTTCGACTGTGAGGGCTCCAAGAGCGTTTTCAAGGTACGTTTCCCTTGTACTACATGCGCCTTTGAAGCTGCATTTTTTACTCATTATGCTACCGTTTGTCTGGCCAATTCGGTCAAGTAATCTTTAGCATGTCTTTGCATAAGTGTGCTGCCTATTTGAAATTTATACAGCACGTTGAAAAGTTATGGGCCTGCAAATGAAAGTATGGCTGGCTGGGGTAATGCCGAAAACGTGCGATTACGCACGTGTTAAAAGCACGCTACGTGGACTTTACTGCTGTAGAATAGCAACGCGTATTTTTAGTCACACAAATTACACTTTCAACCGACACAACGGCCTGTTACCTATAAGGAATGATTTACCTGGCATTTTCTTATTATATCACACAATTATAACTTCCAGTGTGCACCGCGTCCTCAAGCTCTTGAAACGTGTGTTAGCTTTGATGAATTCTGGATAAAGTTTGAGATAAATTGGCAAAACATCAATGTCGGCATTCCCCGTAGATCATTTCTCCCATTTTCGGCTTTCCCCGCAGTCCGGGGCAACGCCGAAAAAGTCACTTCTTTGATATTTTTAGTTTGTGCGCTTAACGGTATGCGAATTCATCAAATGCGCCTGGTATGTTTGAAAGGCAAAAGACTGGCCTCTCGAATGACGCCAACAAGAATAGCGTATGTTGTCTACCTTGCGTGCTACGGTCGTCAGAAAAAAAGTCTTCGGCGTTCCCCCAACTTCCCCTATATCAGCGCAGGGCGGTGCTGCGCTGATTTGTATCTAATTGTATTTCCTTGTTGTTCACAGGTCATTTCCGTGAGAACCAGTACGCCAAGCCTCACGAGCCTCTGAAGCCGGCCAAACAAAAGAAGAAAAAACACGAAGGCGTAAGTTCAATTGCAAACAGTAGTGCTCTGTGGTGTCTTCTTATTCTGGTTTGGTAATCTGTGAATATCATTCTGAATCACGGGAAAGCTCACAATATCTAACTGACAGCACTCCCTTGTAGCCACGTATGCCATAGAGTAATTAGAAGGCATTGTTTTTACGACGTTTTTTTACGCGAATACTGTCCCGACTATATATAGGAAGCACTTATGATTACGGGCGGTGACCTTGTGTAACCCGGCCTGACCCTGTGTATTCTATGTGTTCTGTCCATCAGGGCGGCTCTCGGCGGGCCAGCATCCGCGATGAGGACGACGACGAAGAGGAGGACGACGCCGCCGCCAAGTGAGTGTGACGCCCTCACTCCTTGTGTTTACATCCGCACAGGTCGTAGGGCGATATGATACGTATACTGATGCGTATACGTATCACACGTGCTCCTCCCTCCCCCATATCATATCTATCGTGAGGTGTGCCGTCCTTGCTCCTCGTGGCTCCATATCCACGGACCATTGCCTTTACACGGCAGTTTACACACGAGTCCCCCGCTATCTATCGGCCTGCAAGCAGAGGCCTCCTCGAGAAACGGCTTTCTGGGTCATCTTCTCGCTCGTTTTTATCGGTTCTTTCTTTCTGCCCAGGCAGATACGATCATGTTATCAGGGATATAGGTCTGTTTTTGACAGTCGACAGGTGTGTCAAGTGTCAAGTGTTTGTTTTAAGATCAAGTGCGCTAATCGAACAAGTATATTATCTATCGTTTGTGGTGCACGTTCTCAAGTATTTGTAGCTTGCTTGTTGGACGCGGAAATTATCTTAGATACCGGCATGTCGTCCTATAACCTGTCAAAAAGTTTGAATACCTGTACCCAGCCAATACCCATCGGCCTCAGAACACTGAACACTCGAACCTGCTGCCGCATGTGATAACTGGCGGTTTGTTGCTCTGGCCCGGTTTATCTATTTACATACTGTGCGGCGTTCAAAGTCGATAGTTGCGGTACAATCACATGATTGAGATATTCGATACGGTATGCTGCTCTTAAGTATTGCTTGCCTCTAATAAGGTAAGGCAATGTTTGCCTTATCTGTCCACGGCATTGCTGTTTATTTATGACATCTGACCGTTATTGACGTGACCTTTGCCTGACCTCTGTGTGACCCCTCTGTGGCCGCAGGTCATCCAGCCGCACGGTGCCGACCCTGCTGGTCACCGACGAGACGGCCCAGGGCTCAGATGAAGGTACACATGAACAAACAAACAAACAAGCAAACAAACAAGAAAACAAACAAGCAAACAAACAAAAAAACAAACAAACAAACAAACAAACAAACAAACAAACAAACAAACGTATGCATGCCTTCATACCAACGCACACACGTATACAACACACAATCGTCGTACAAAACACATCACAAAGGTCACATTCGTCGTACAGACATAACTGTGCCATAGCCGTTTGAGATGCCGTCCGCGACATCGTATAATGCGGTGGAAAGTAAAACATTTTTGCTATGTTTTGAGATAAACCAGAACCATAGTAGTACAGAACAGCCATACCTCAACCGTGTGCTAACTATAGACACGGTCATTTCGGTCGTTTCAAACGATGGTTTGCCACTTATTTCTCGAAAGTCGCGGCCTGACACGCAACTGGTCGCCCTGGAGCCAATAACCTGATCACGTTCGTAACGTTAGGCGGTAACGATTTTACCTACGATGAGGGCTATCCGTTTTAGGTTGGTATGCCATTTTAATGTCCGAAACTATCACAGAGCAGATCTGTCAACCCTCTGCCCCAGTCACGTCACCACTGTCACTAACACCACCACGACTGATGTCCAAACCATCACAGCCACCACTACCGCTATACCGCCGTCCGCCACTGCCGCCGACATCGCTTCAGACCTGTATAAGTGCTGCCGACGCTGTCAAACACCGTTCGCCGGCTACTGGGCTGTTACCTGCCCGTACCTATACGGAGTCTTACGAGCCAGGGACCAGGCTACGGCTCCCAATATGTCACCGCACTGGACAAAGTAGCACGCAACGCATGCAAATCTAGCCAGTGTTAACACGGAGACACAAATGAACTTCAGTGAATGATACATACAGTGGGAGGTGACGTTTAATCTCATCTTTAAATTTTCTGTCACACTGAAGAAAGTGTAGCTTCTGTGTCCCAAAAGTCAAAACTACTCAGCTTACAGGGGCGGATCCAGGAATTTTCGGGAGGGGGGGGCGGCAAGTCGAAATAGGGGCGACCTGGCAATCCGGGGGCGCTCCATACAAAGGGGGCGCCAAACCGTCAAAATCGGGAGCTAAAAGCCCCTGCCGTGCTAGGGGGCGTTATCGCGCTCCTCCTCAGGTTTTTCGCAAATATCTGAAAAACGGCTGCGCGCAGCGCCGCCATTTTTAGCATATCTTATCATGCATCTTTTTTGCACATGTTGTAAAAATGTCTGACGCGGGTGATGGAAGGTCAGGTCACCAGGTTATGCCAAGTGACCTAGCCTAAGAAAAAGTTCAAATGCTTACCATTGCTATACCGACTGAACGGTTGCTTTGAACCTTTCAGCGATTGATGAAAGCAACACTATTCATGAAATGTATATCTCGGAATTTCGATATCTGTGACCTAAGGTCAGGTCAGTTGTGCGACGTCTCCATTAGGTAGGTAGGTATAATTAAGTCTTTGGGAGAAAACTGAAAGGCATCTCTTTTGGACGAGCGCCATTCTAGACAATATCAAGGATTGGGATACATATAAAATTAACACACTGAATAAGGACATTGCACCTAGTGTGACCACTCATTATGTTCCAGAGGTCATCCCATGTCATGAAAGGTCCGCAGTAGTTTTTTTTTTAAATAACTTTTGATAGATTCAAGCTAGAGCGATAAAAACACCTCAGCTGTGTTCAGCTCGACGATACGCATTGACTGCTATGCAGCATGACCTTTTCCGGTCAGGTCATGACCTTGACCTGAGGTCAAATTCTCAAAATTACCTTTCACAAGGTCAACCTTTAGTTTGTTCGACGTGTCTCGACGACAGAAACGCAATGCTGGCAAACGTAATGTCGAGACTCTCTTGATTCAAAAGTTATTGCAGGAAAACATTGTTCGTAAAAAAGCTATTTTTAGAGTCTTTTGCCCTCTGAAGGCTAAACCGTTGACCTGAGGTCAAATCTGAGCGCAGCTTGCAGAAACACCTTTAAAAGGGCTATCGAATGCGCTTTTCTGCGGCGCTATAGCTCTATTGGTTTCCGAGTTATGCGCCGCTGCTTCGAAAACAGAAAAATGTTGAAACAGGCAACATTTTACCTTTGATGACCTCTGGTGACCTGACATTCGACCTAACCTAAAAAATGACCGTTTTGTTTTCGTCCTGTTTTTTTTTGACGATCTTTCGAATGCCGCTTATCACGTGTCACTACGCGGCCCAGGAGCCGAGTTAGTCGAGGGAGTGTGCCCCCCCCCCCCCCCAGCAGGACACGGAAAACTCAGACCACCAGCACGGCACGGGTTAAAAGTCGTAGATGGGCACCGCTACCCTGGCAAAAGATATTAGCAAAAAGGTGGCCTCCATTTACTGGTGCAGTCCTTCTTCTCCCGGTGATGCCCCATCCTTTTTCTGGAAGCGTCTCACTTATGCTGGTATGCCTCACTTCCCGGGGGCGCCCAGCCTCTGCTTGGATCGCCTAATCCATTATGGAGAGACCCACTTTGCTTAAGTCGCCTCATTTCTTCCTTCTAAGAACGACCAATTTGCTGTAGGCGGCCCACTTATCTGGGACGCCCATCTTCTGCTTGAAGTGCCCCTCTTCTTCCTGATGCGTCCCACTTCTACTACGAGTGCACCTTTTCTGTTAGGGCGCCCCTTTGCTGCTGAGGAGTCTTTTTTCTACTGTGAATAGGGCGGCCCTCTCCTGTTGGGCGACCCCAAATTCTGCTGGAGGCGCCCCACTTCTGCCCAACTTTTGGTGGGGCGCATCTCTCTTGCAGGGGGCACTTCTCTTTTGCTGGAGACGCCATTCTTGTGAGGGCGCCCTTCCACTGCGGGGAACGTCTCTCTTCTGCCAGAGGCACCCCTTTTCTTCTTATGGGGCTCCTGTTTTTTTTTCTGGGGCGAGGCGACCCTCTGCTGCTCGGAACGGGGCACACCTCTCCTTTTACTGGGGCACCGCCCCTCTGCTGGGGTTGCCCTTCCACTGTCGTCAGGGGCGCCCCTCTTGGTAGAATATACTCCTTTTCTTTTTGTAATGGGGCGCCCCTCTTCTACCGGGGGCGCCCATCTGCTGCTGGGGCGTCTACCTTCTGCCGGATTTTGTCAATGGGGCGCCCATATCCTGTTTGGCGGGCCCAACCTCTGCTGGAGGCTCCCTATTTCTGATTAACTTTTGCTGTGGCGCCTCTCTTCTGCCGGGGCGCCCCTCTTCTGCTTGGGGTGCCCGTCTCCTGCTGGAGACCCCTCTCTTCTCCTGGGGCGCCCCTCTTCTGCCAGTGGCACCCATTTTCTTATTATTGGGCTCCTTTTTTGCTAGGGCGCCCAGCTGCTGTCAGGGCGCCCCTCTTCTCGGAATGGGGGCGCCTCTCTCCTTTTGCTGGGGCGTCGCTCCTCTTCAGGGGGACACGTCTCCTGCTAAGGGTGCCCTTCCGCTGCCAGGGGCGCCCCTCTTGAACAGAAGGTATTTTATATTCTTGTAACGAGACGCCCTCTTCTGCTGGGGGCGCCCATCTGCTGCTGGGGCGACTCTCATCTGCTGGGAATAGGCAATTAGGCGTCACTCTCCTGCTTGGTGAGCCCAACTTCTGCTGGAGGCGCCCTATTTCTGCTGAACCTTTGCTGTGTCGCCGCTCTTCTGCTCGGGGCGCCCTCTCTGCCGCGGGATATGGGCGCCTTTTTCGGATGGCGGGGGGGGGGGCGGCCGCCCCCGTCGCCCCCCCTGGATCCGCGCCTGTCAGCTTAGACATATTTATCTCAATAGCTGACACCCGTCAATTCGTTTCTTATAACACATTCACATACCATTAGTGGGCTTATCTGGCGTATAGTACTTTTTCAGTTGCTCACCTTTTGTTCCTTTCGTTGATGTATTCCGCTGCCTGCTTGTGACACCTCGCGTCTCCCCTCCTCAGCCAAGAAGGGCGACGACAAGTCGTCGAAGCACCACCACAAGCACCACCGTCAGCATGTGGAGGACCCGGCCGGCCGCCGGGTGCCCGGCTCGGAGAGGCGGCCGCGCCGGCCCTCCACCGGCCAGGGGCCGCTCGATGACGAGCTGCAGGACGCCTCTGACCCGCACCAGGACGATATCAGCAGTGAGTGGGGTGGCTGTATGGTTTGACGGCACTTGACCTGACCTGATCTGACCTGACCTGACCTGATCTGACCTGACCTGAATTGAGCTGAGCTGAGCTGAGCTGAGCTGAGAGGGCCTGAGGATACCTAATCCGACCTGAATTGATCTGTTCCTATTCTGGATTGGGCTGACCTGACTTGAGCAGACCGAACCCAGCCTGACTTTAAGATAAAGACCTAACTTAATCTGACCCGACCTTCGGCGACCTCACCTGACCTTACCTGACATACTGAACCCGATCTAATCGCACTTCCCTACTGTCCGTCACGGCTAGCTCTACGATGGACGGTGTTTCGGTTCGTCGTTCACCTCCCCGCCGTTAATATCGTTCCGTGTCGATTCCGAGGAGCGCACCGAGCACCAATTGCGATCGAGTTTCGCGCGGCGCGGCAGGCCGCAGGGAAGCCCGCTGATAACCGCTCTGACTGCCTCTGTGATAGCGTATTCCAGCTCATTGGTCGCCGGTTTGCGTCACGCAGTAGCGTAATGCGGGACGGAGCGCCGCGATACGGACAGGTTATCGCGGCCGATTGCGATCGGCTCGATGAACTGTGGAAAATTGGGATCGGTGCTTGGTATTGGTCAATGATCGGGAGAATGATCAGAGCGAACCTTACGAACCCTATGTTTTGTCTGTTGCTTTGTGATACGATCAAAACACTTCAATCGATAATGCATATATTTTGACATATGAGTTAGATAATGCACTTAAAAAATTTGCACGTCCTCTCTTGTTGAACCGATTCTCAATCTTTCCCGAGGTGAATTGATCTTCGCATTGGCTCAAACCACTCGTCCTTTATTTCTTCGCACCCCTGAACTGACCTGACATGACCTGAGCTGGTATGACCTCACATGTGTCCGGGTAGACCACCGTTTTTAGTAGGTTTGACCAGGGTTAACCTGGGTTGACCTGGTATGACCGGAGCTGACCTGATCTGACCCGAAATGTCCTGTGTCTCCAACAGACCACCGTTTCGAGGAGGCCGGCCGTCGTCACCACCACAAGGTGGCCAAGAAGAAGGATGAAGTCGTACGGCTCGGGGACATCAACGCCGGCCACGGCGTAACCAGCGGCGGCAAGAAGATCTTCGACCACACGCCTCATGACGTAAGTCGACCCAGTGACGTCACAGGGCACATCACAGGGATGCCATGAGGTCGGCGGGCGGATCAATATGAGTATTCTGTATGAGCATTGCGCATCGACCACCACGGTTATTTGAAACTTGATGGGCATATTTGAGATATTGCGTGAAATTGGGTTCTCGAAGGTATGTGATAGTTTCCAACAGGGAGAAGGAGGCTAGCCAATTCCAAAGAGGGCGTTTGGTACAGGTCTCGCGGGTTTTAGCGGTAGGTTTTGCACCTAGAAAATTTAGTGTACTTCAGACTATATCTTCGTCGTCTTAAGCTTTTAAGTGTTGAAGATGCGATCGACTTGTTGGGTAACAAGCCGGCCATGATCGTGTAAAATGGCTTCATCGTAGATCGATTAGTTTCTGAGATATAACCGGAAACGTAAAAGTGCAAAACCTACCGCTTAATCTCGCGAGACCTGTACGTTATGTTGACAGGTGACATGTTGAAAATGTATCCCCCGCTCAATCAATGACAATGAGTCTGCTTGCAGTCCGGCTTGCCGGTGTATCGGCTGCTCTCGAATGCAATATTTAATTCATCCGGCGTGGAATGGGCGCAATCCTGATTCGAGCCTAGCCTGCGATTTGCTGATACCTGTGAAGGATGGCATCGTTTCTGAGAGCGGGCAGCGCTGGGCCGTTGGTAACAGGGCTGACGCTGCCTGTGATATGCATCAGATGCCGTGTTTCTAGTCGTCCACTGGCCTCTACCTGTCCTCAGACGGGATGGGGGGGGGGGGGGGCGTCATGGCCCATCACGTGCCCGCCGCTTGCACCGTGCACCGACACGTGTCGCCACGTGCCGATACGTGCCGATACGTGCCGCCAACCCGTGTCAGGAGGGTGGACAGGAGAAGGGGACTGGGTTCTCAGAAATCCGTCTGTCGGGGAGGGGCACCCCGCTCTCTGTGTGGCCTAAGGAATATTTACAGAATCACAGACTACAGTCATTCCCTCATAACCGGACAAAGTTCATTGCTGTTACTGGCCCATTTAGTTGTCAGCTGTGGTATTTTACCACTCAGCCAGCTTCGCCAAAAATCTAATCGTTTTTGTCAGAAATGAATGCAGGCTCTAATGTGTTCCACGTGGTGTGTGCCTCGCATTGGTCAGCTCAGCAGGACGTTGTTACGTGCCACCCCTGTGTCCCAATTAATCCCAGCTTGCCAGCATACCGGAAATACCTGGATTAGTTACCAGATTTACCCGATCACTCTTCGATCCACTTACGCGATCATAGCGCCATCTACAACCGGCTGGGGTAGATGAACTTCCCTTCTCTCCCAACAGATCTACGTGCAGATGGACGAGCTGACGGCTACGGATAGTGAGGCTGAGTGGCAGGCCTGCGCGCGCTGGATCAAATACGAGGAGGACGTCGAGCCCGGCTCGGACCGCTGGGGAAAACCCCATCTGTCGTCGCTCTCGTTCCAGAGTCTGATGCACCTGCGTCGATGCCTGGAGAAAGGTGCGAGAGGATTGTGTGACGGGCTGGTTGATGGGGGTCATGGGTGGGGAACGATGATCCGCCCAGAGCGAGCGTGATATACCGCACTCGGCATAGAAACATACTCTTATAACGATGAATTAGTCTATTTCCCGACTTATGCTGTCACATCGCTCCTTTTTTCCTTAGAACTTACTGTTTGGATGTTGTCATTATCTGAATGACAGCAGCACGCCGAGACTGGTCCCGTTGTAAGAATCAGGACTAAACATGCTCCAACTCGTCCCCCCCTTCCGACCCCTGTTGACGCTGTTTTAGGTCGTCCTCCTTTAGCTATTCCTCTGACCCCTGTTGACGCGAAATGATATTTCCGAGAAATGCCTCCCGATTGGTAGGACGATGACGTCACCCGGTGCCACGGGCTAAATACTGAGGATGACTGGTCCAAACCTGTGTACCCTCGGGGTGTAATGCTGGGGTGTTATGAGGGCGCGTAGACGCACATCTTCACTGCGTGTGGAACTCCCGAGCGGAGAGGAGGTAGCCGTCTATTCCTGAGACACCATGTCATAACTGCTGTCAATTTCGGTTAGTAAATTTACAGTGACACCTCGCCTCATTTGGAAAGGAGCAATAGTGAGGGAACACTGCTTTGCCCATCTTTCGGTCACCTTTGTTGCGCCGTGTGACTTGTGCTGACCTCCTCTGGCCTGCGATGAAATATTATGAGCTGTGATGACCTCTTCTGACCTACAATGACCTCTTCTAACCTACAATGACCTCTTCTGACCTGTGTCAACCTCTATCCCTCCCTCATATTTGCTGCTGTTGTGATCTCTGTCGACCTCTGCTGACCTTTGCTGACCTCTGCTGACCTTTGCTGACCTTTGCTGACCTCTGTTGACCTCTCCCCCACCAGGCGTGGTTCTGCTGGACGTGGAGGAGCACGACTCCGTGGCCATCAGCCACCGGATCACCACTCAGCTGGTGAACGAGGACGCCATCCAGCAGCAGGACTTTGGCGCGGTGATGCGCACACTGCTGCTGCGCCGTCAGCACGTGGCCGATCACAACAGTCGCGGCCTGCGCAACTACATGAGCAGCCGTAATCTGTCCCGCGCCACTCTGCAGGTAGGTGCTGAGGGGAGGGGAGCGTGGGGCTGGACGGGACGGGATGAGTTGATAAGACGGCACAGGACGGTATGGCGGGTCTGCGCGGAATGAAATGGGAAGGTAGTGCGGGACGGTATGGGGAACGGGTCACTCATAAAGTATACTCTGATCAATATACGATGAACGGTCGTCTTTATTGAGCGCGTCTGGTGTCCATATTCAGTTGATTAGGCCGGCTTGTTTGATCCCAATTTTCCTCTGCAATCAATATGATCCGGGAGGCTGAGTGTTATCGTCAGTACAGGGACCCCGTACTAGCTATGCCAGAGGCCATTACAGACGTGTCCCCACCAGCCAGCTGAGGTGACCACCTCCCCTTCCTCAGAGCCTGGCCGACATGCGGCGCGACTCTGCCCGCTCGCTCTCCGAGGTCGACAAGGACAAGCTGAAGAACTCGCTGACCGTCATGTCGTCCTCTCATGGACAGATTCCGCGACACAACTCGGTACGTTAGTCTCTATAGGATAGTCCCCCTGTCTGTGCGGGGAAACGGTAGTGGCAGCAATAGTTGTCCTCTTCTCCGACGAAAGGCGTTCATTTCTAACTGCGTTGCCTGTGTGCAACCATGTCTTCAGGTGACTTTTCAGCGGTGATGCTGAACTGGTGTAGTTGGATACTGAGAAACGGTGGTGGGCTATGTGTCTCCACAGGAAAACTAGCTTATGATCCTTATGCGGAAGCTGACGTATTGTTGCGACATTGGGGCCGGGCTGCATGTATTTATAAATTTAAGTCCCCATTCGCTGTGATATAGACGCATTTGATGCATGCTATTGCATATTTACCGCAAGCTGATAAGGACCTTCTTAGATGTTCACTATTCAATTGTTTTATTTATCTCATGCGATATCGTTTTTAAGTGAATTCCGTTTTCTCTTTACAGTTTAAATCAGCGCAGGAGGTAAAATCGGTTTGTTGAATTGCTGTGTGTGGTCGTGTACGCATCGTGTTTGTCTTTTGAAATAACACAGAGTTAATCGCTTGCTCACGAGGCTTCAGAGTTCACCTATGGTCGACCACTGCCCAGTCCCAGTTTCGCCGTAGTGTTATTCCCATGCCTCCGAAGCTATATACAAATGCTGCCTGTACAATGTACATATATATTACTTTTGTGTTGGTAGCGCTTTTTCAGACGGTAGTATGCCGGGACCTGAATTATAACGCGCGTGATGGGCATTGGGTTCATCGCATTGTCATGTTAGATGCCAACCACTAGAACTTAGTAAAATGACGCTTTAGGGATTCAACGGCCTGATATCCTGCATCTGCGAGACCTGGGAGCGGTGTGCCAATTAACTGAGCCGTTCAACCGTCTACTGACGCGCTTTACTTTGGTATTCCCTAACGCTTCACCTGTAACGCTCTCAACGCGTGTTACCCGTGCCGTGTGCCCTGTCCGTGCCCGTGTATGTGACTGATAACCCCTGTTTATAGACCCCTTTCCGTGACCCGTGTCCGTGACTCTTGTCCGTGATTCGTGACCTGTGTTCGTGACCCGCCCCGCCAGCTGAAGCAACGGCCGTCCAGCGGCCGGCTGCGTCACGAGCCAGCCGGTCCGGCAACCATGGCCGATCACGTGACCCCGGCCGTCGTGCCGCCGCCGGCCACCGTACAGGAGACAGTGCGTGTTACGTGATGCTTTGTGCAGCCTGCTTTGTACATAGCTCGTCCCCCCGATAGGCTCTCGGATAGGCTGAAGCTGATGTTGTGTTTGATTGGTTCGTGTGTTCGTCTTACGTTTTATTCGCTTTGCTTGCGATGTTATAAAGCTGCGAATCGTCATGACAGTATTGTGTGTGATTTTACGCACCTTCTATGGATTATTTACGAGCGTTTGTATTGTACATAGTTCCATTGTTGTTTGTGTTAAATTGCAAAGGTGTTTTCAGTTTCACTTGAACCGCTTTTATAAAAAAAAAAATTGCATGTTGCTGGCGGCTCGATTTTAACTCTTCAAAACAGTTACACGTTTTGTAGCTATGTGCTATTTAGCTTCTTATTAATTCCTTGCGTTGTAGCAGTTCAGCGACTTTCTTAGCATGTATTTTATAGTTTTCTTATCTTTATGATACATTTCGCTTATTTGTAATTTTTTATTCGTATTTTCACGTTGATGGTGTGCGTGTGGATGATACCCTAATGTGCTCGCATTCCATTGTTCTAACATTTCAACATTTTCTACAGTTCGAGCCGTCCTCGTAGTCAACTGATAATAGATGTATCTATAACCTCAATTTGAGATTGTTTTCCCGTTATCAGTGATATTTCCTTTTCTCTCGCCTTTGCACCGTGTTTGTGCCGACCTCCCGAGAGCCTCGACTGACCTCTCTCTCTCCCCCTCCCTCCCTCCACACGACAGATCGGCGGCGAGTCGGTGGCGAGCAATGACGACCTGCGCCGCTTCATGTCGCACAACAACATCCTGCGCCGCCTGGCGCCCGGCACTGAGACGTTCTCGGTGAACGTGGGCCGCGTCGACTTTGCCGCCGGCCCGGTGGCCGCGTTCGTGCGCCTGTCGGAGGGCACCTACCTGCCGGGTATCACTGAGGTGAGAGACGGTGACCGGCCTGCTGCCATAGTCAGGGGCACCAGTGCGAGAGTCAGGTGAAAGTAAGACATCAATCGGAGGATTTAATGCGATTCATTATAGTACCATTCGGGGAAAGCGTCTGTCATTAACCCGTTTAGTGAATGATAATATTTTTACAAGTGAGCTAAACCTGTGGTTTGTGATTGTTGGATCTGGTGTTACTGTTTCCTGTGTCTGCCTCCAGATGCCGCTGCCGGTACGGTTCATCTTCTTCCTGGTGGGCCCGCACGACTCTTCGGAGGACTACAACGAGACGGGACGCGCCTTCGCCACCATCATGTCCACACCGGTCAGTACCAGTGTGAAACTGTCACTCTGTCAGCCTGTGAAGCTGTCACACTGTCATACAACAGCACCGTCACGCTTTTATATTGTACCGTCACAATAGTGACAACGCTGCCTTACTGTCAGACTGTCACGCCATAGGCCTGTCAAACTAGTCTGTCATATCGCCCCGCACATATTCTCCCGCCGTCTGACCCTGCCCTGACCTCCCTGTCCACCCCACAGGCGTTCCATGAGGCGGCCTACAAGGCGGAGAGCCGCTCGGACCTCATGTGGGCCTTCAAGGAGTTCCTGGACGATACGCTGGTGCTGCCACCTATCGACTGGACAGCCAACCCGGACGTCCTGGACGTGCACATGCTCCAGACCCACTCGAGAGAGATCCAGGAGAGGAAGCGTGAGAAGTTGGCGCTGCGCAGCCGGCGTGAGTCGATGGTACCCGGAGCGACGGTGGGACCTAATGGTGTAGCGGCGGACGGCGCCGACGCACCGCCCGGAGACGGAGACAAGAAGCCTGAAGATGACGACCCGCTCACTAGGAGGGGACGCCCGTTCGCCGGATTCATCAACGACATCAAGCGCAGGTGGGTGCCGCGGGGGGAGTGCTCGGACAGAGTGGCTAGAGGGGACGAGAAGGGAGGAATGGAGAGAGGGGAGAGAGGGAAAGGGGCGGGAAGAGAGACGGAGTGGCGGGAGGTAATATTGTGGAGAGCGGGAACGGAGTGGCGGAACGGAATGGCAGCAAATGCGGCCGTGGAGTCGCCGTGGAGTCGCCGTTCGGTCTGCGTCTGATTGCCCCACTGACCGACCTGTGTGTCTGACAGGTACCCGCACTACGTGTCCGACTTCAAGGACGGCCTGGACGCCGCCGTGTTCTCGGCAGCTTTCTTCATCTACTTCGCAGCTCTGGCCGGCGCCATCACATTCGGAGGCCTGATGAGTGAGTTGGCAATTCGGGAATGTATTAGGGAAAGTGCGGTAGCTGTTTGTGGTATGTTCGCATCGTTCGTAAAGTCATCCCTTCGAATAATCTCAGAATAATCGCAGAATTTACACAAGATTTACACGATGCGTTGCCGTATTTTTAACAACAAATCGTGCACAAAGTAAGCTTGCCTTTTTGCGACCTTCACTGCTGCACCCGTTTCAATGCTCGGTCCTTACGCCCCCTTCGTCCCGCAGTGGACAAGACGGACCTGCTGGTCGGTATCTCTGAGACGCTCATCTCCACCGCCATGGCCGGCGTGATATTCTCTCTGTTCTCATGTCAGCCGCTCATCATTGTCGGCACCACTGGACCCGTGCTGCTCTTCGATGAGGCCCTCTACTCGGTGAGTGGGTAGTCACGGGTCCGACTGGGGCTCTGCTAGGTATTAAGGGTTTGTGTGCGACCCTCAGAGTGCTCATTCGGCGTAAGATTGTGGTTTATTTGAACGATTGTTTAGTTTCGAAATCCTGCAAGTGAGTGCATTTTGCATTTATGTTTGATACATTACCTCTTAATTTGGCTCGTTCTCTTGACTAATTTCCGCTGTCCTTCGTTTATTATGTGACCGACCGACAACGAATCAGTGTATGTATGACTCGCTCAACACAAACTAGTAACTACTCCCTTCCTTCAGTTCGCCAACTCGAACGGCCTGGAGTTCCTGCCGATGCGCGTCTGGATCGCCATCTGGATGCTGGCCATCAGTCTGGTGCTGGTCGGCCTCGAGGGCTCCGTGCTGGTGCGCAAGTTCACCCGCTTCACCACCGAGATCTTCTCCTCGCTGGTGTCGCTGCTCTTCATCTTCGAGTCGCTCGCCAAACTGGCATCGGTGAGAGAGCCGGGTCGCTAGTCGCGCGAGGCTGATAAGTGTTTATCCTATTGATGTGGGTAGCTTAGAATACAAAATCTCGACCTGAGAGAAGTTTGTAGCTTCGTACCCTGTTTATGGTGAGAACAATTCACTTTTACCTCACCCGCAACAGAGTTCGTGTTAAACCCCTGACAGTTATGTTTTGACATGTATTCTGGGAAGATTCTGACGCCGCTCGCCCAATTCATTCTGACCTCCCTTACAAGGGAATAGGGATCCCATTTGACCACCCTCTGGCTCCCCCCATCCCCCATCGATCGCCCCTCTGACCACACCACCCCCGCTCCCTCACAGGTGTTCATCGAGCACCCTCTGCTGGCCGACTACTGCACCGACTCTCTCTTCCTCTCCACTCTGCCCCTGGTGGTGAACCCCCTCAGCGGAGAGCACATGAACGTCTCCACCGCCATGGTGGCAGCCGCTAACGGAAACGACACGATCAGCGCCAACGAGACGGAGCTCATCGACGCTAGGTGAGAGGGGACGGGGGGATGAGAGGGAGAGGAGGAACGGAGTGGAATGGAGGCGGGGGGAGCGGGGAGTGAAGAGGGGAGAGAGCAAGGAAGGGACAGGAAAAGAGAGGAAAAAGGATGAGGATAGGGGAGGGAAAGGACCAGAGCTAATCAAACTCCCGTTGCGCTCAACTCATCCTCTCGTTGGCACTCCGACTGATCTCACCCTCCCCTCTCTACCAACAGCAACCCGAACGCCACCATGCTGGGCGACGCGCCGCTGACCGACCCCAAGAACCAGCCCAACACGGCGCTGCTGTCGCTGCTGCTCATGTTTGGCACGTTCGCCATCGCCCAGTACCTGCGCTACTTCCGCAACAGCAAGTTCCTCGGCCGCCGCGTGCGCCGCATGTTGGGCGACTTCGGAGTGCCGATTGCTATCCTCATCATGGTCGGAGTTGACATGCTCATCCCGATGGTACGTGGGCGCTGGAGTGGCTGCTGAGGGCTGGAGAGGGATCCTGAGTGCTGGTTGCAGTGGTTTGGTTATGCATTATTGCAGTCGTGCGGTAGATTTGGTAACCGATGACTAGTATGCATTGAGGGCCAGATGGTAAGAAGGAAGAACCGTAGTGATTCGGGAGTTGCCCCGGCTGCTGGTCAGTCGTAAGTGGCATTAGAAAATAGTGTCTCCCTTTCTCTCTCCAAGTCAGCCTTGTGTCTGAAGTGCTCTATCTGACTCTGTATTCCTCCTCCCCTCTCCCCAGGTCTACACCCAGCGCCTGGAGGTGCCGGCCGGCCTGACGCCGTCCAACCCGGCCGTTCGCGACTGGCTCATCTCACCTCTGGGCGTGCACCAGTCGACCTCCTGGCTGGCTATCGTCGGCGCCATCCCCGCCGCCGGCCTCATCTTCATCGTCATCTACATGGAGACCATGGTCTGTGAGCTCATCATGGCCAAACCGGAGCGCAACCTCAAGAAGGGCACCGGCTTCCACGTCGACATCGTCGTCATGTCGGTGATCAACCTGATCTCGGCCCTGATCGGCGCCCCGTGGATGTGCGCGGCCACGATCCGTTCTGTGAGTCACGCGGCCGCTCTGACGGTCATGTCGACCACCTACGCGCCCGGAGAGAAGCCCAAGATGGTGGGCGTGCATGAGCAGCGTCTGTCCAACCTGTTGGTCTCCATCATGATGGGCCTGTCGGTGGCACTGTCGTCGGTGCTGAAGCTGATCCCGGTGGCCGTGGTGTTCGGCGTGTTCATGTACATGGGAGTGAGCTCGATGACCGGAGTACAGATGATGGAACGCGTGGTGCTCTTCCTGAAGCCGGTCAAGTACCATCCAGATGAGAACTACGTGAAGAGGGTAAGTGGGGAGAAGGGGAGAAGGGAGAACGACCGGTACGGTTCGGAGGAAGCAAAGTTTTTATTCTTTTCCATGTAGAATACTATGTCTAGCAAAATCTTTTGGCATTGTTCTTTTATCTTTACAGTAAACCGCTAGTACAATGACAAAATTGGAGTTATCTCACGGTTCTGGAGCTCTGAAACTTCTCAAGTAAAGCGTTGTTGTCAATGACGACGATGAACCCGGTCGAGTTTGCTTACACCTGTCGGTTGGCGGCTCACCGCAGTCTACTGTCCGATTTGAGGACCGGCAGTCTCCCCCAGCACACCACTGACGCCCCTCCTCTCCCCCTCAGGTGAAGACGTGGCGTATGCACCTGTTCACCATCATCCAGTTCTGCTGTCTGGGCTTCCTGCTGGGCATCAAGTTCACGCCGGCCGCCATCGGCTTCCCCTTCTTCCTGGCCATGCTGGTGCCGCTGCGACTGGTGCTGCTGCCCAGGCTGTTCTCGCCCATCGAGCTACAGGCGGTAGGTGGCAGCGGATGGCCCGCGGAACGGTTAGGGGTCCATTATTCGGATCTGGGGCAACTTTTCGTATATCTAGTGTTTTGAAGCTGTTACCCTCTACTGGTCTTCTTTACTGACCTACACTGACTCATGCTGACCTGTGTTGAACCACGATGACCTGTGATGACCCCTGCTGACCCCTGATGAGTCCTGCTGACCTCTGCTGACCTCGTGCTGACCCTCCGACAGCTGGACGGTGACGGCGGTGAGATGGCTGACGACACGGACGCCGACTTCTACGAGGAGGCGCACACGGTGCCTGCCGCCACCTCGGCGCCCAGCTTCTACAACAACAGCAGCCTGCAGCTGCTGCGGGTGCAGAGCGCGCTCAGCCCACAGGCCAAGGTGTGAGGTGCGAGACGGCGACACCGGCGCGCCCGCCGCGCCCGCTCAACAGCCGACCGCGCCCCGGGCCCACCTCAGTCCAGCCGAGCCAGCTGCCACCGCGGGCGGCCGTGTACCCACTGTGACGTCATGAGTAGCTAGTGGATGACGTCATACAGCTGTACTGTTGTGTGCCCGGATGGATGTGGCGTCATCATTATGTGGTCAGCAAGGCCGGGACAAAGTCTTTATGTGTGTATGTGCGTGTGTTTGGAGGAGTCAGTTTGATAGGGTGTGTGCCCGAATGGCGAGCCGCCCATAGCGGCCGAGTTCGCGGTTTGTCGCGAGCGAGTGTCCGTACCGGCCGAGTGGTGCCTGTCCGAACAGCCATTGGGGGCGTACATACCACATATACATGCGCGCATATACACAAACTATTCATAAATGATATTTTGTCACCGGAGGCGGTATTTTATGGGCGGCGCTCGCGCCGGGTCCCCTGTGCGGCCTCCGCGGGGCGTCTGTGTCTCCGCGGAGTGGCGCAGGGGACTCTCACAGGCCTTCTGACTGTGCTGTGATGGCGGGCCGGCTGTGGCCCTCACAGGGCTGACCAAGCCGACAGAGGCTGTCCGAGTTGCCACTCCCCAGCGGCAGAGGAGAGAGGACAGGCGTGTTGCAGAGTGGGGGCCGTCCCGTGTGCGTCGAGATGTTTGTCCAGGTCGGTGCGCTGACCAGTGGGATCGGATGACGCTTTGAGACGCGAATGTGGAGCGCGCGTGAGTTTTGTACCGGCGTTCAGAGGCAGCGAGAGCTCCGCAGCAGGAGCGCTACCGCGCTGTGTTTGTGTGTCTGTGTGGCGTCCTGGTGGAGAATCGTGTGTGGTGTACGGGTGAAATAATTCCATGTTGATATTGGCCATTGCCTGATTGAGATGTGTTGTCTACCGCCGTCTGTTGACTAATCCGAATTGAATGAGAAATGTTCCGCTGCCAGAGCGAAACAGAGAGACGATTATGAGTAATGATAAGAAGAGAAAGAGAGAGGGAGAGAAAGAAGAAGAGAGCGAGAGTGAGAGCCGCTGCCACGAAACAAAATGGCTTCGACGGTGGTAAATACAATTTATTACGAAAAACAGCTCTGTTGATGTGTGGAGTTGAAGAAGTTGGGGATTGAGATGTCTGAAATCAGACCGGTTTAGCCATTGCTCACTGCCACCACCATTTCCTTACAAATTCTACCATCCACGAATCCCTGCCACTTCCAGGCCTTTCGCACAGACCCTGAGGAGCCACAGACAGCAGCTAGGAACACATGTTGTATTGGACAAGATACATTCATACATGGAGGTACAACAGGAGTGAGCAGCACGCGATACGTACACAAAATGACAACAGCCGACCAGTCGCACCGGCCTCACGCTCCGGCCAGCATGGCAAACACTGCTTCTGCCCAGTCTCGCAGCAAACAGCGAGATTCGACCAGACATTTGGCACTCGATAGCCCTGAAAACGGGCACTTCAGCAACACTGAGCCGTCACAATGATACAAAATGACTGGAGCAATCGCCGGCAGACACTAGTGCCACCTGTCGGCGGCGGCGACAGCTCAACTGCAAGATTCTCCGCCGCGCGGCGCCGCCGTCGGCGCAGTCTCGATGCCCTGTACAAAAATGGCGCAGCGGACACGGAAGACAGTGACGACACCGCTCGAGTATTAAATGAAGTCGGCGAAGGGCCTAAGTGCGGCCACCGGCCACCTCTGAGATCTGGGACGGCCGGCCAGCTCCCGACCCCGGACGGGCTCCCTCTCTCCCTCCCCACTCTGTCCAGATTCGGACGGGACAGACGCAGACATGTCTCACCACGCCCGGCGGATTCCTCTCACTTCCAGCTGATAGCTGCAATGATGAATCATGATTCCTAAATCTCTCCCTCACTCACGTATATGGCACGCGAGCTTTGTCGTCACACAATAATGCCCGCGACACAGCAGGACCCGCCGCGCCGACCGCGACATCTATGGCCACTCACCAGCACTATTAGTTCACCGGTCTGCCGCGCGGCGTCGCTACGCGTCGGTGTCGTGCAGCGGATCGGTGGGCGCTGCGCCGGAGAACGTGAGCGAGGGCCGGCCGTTCTCCGGCGGCAGCAGGTTCGTCTTCTCGGAGCTGGCCGCCGCGCCGTCCCGCTCCGGGTACGTCGACTCGTACACCGGGTTCGAGAAGTTGGTCGGCTGCGAGGAGACGAGGGGACGTCATTTTACGAGTAGAGGGAAAAGCCCAAAAGTACGCAGAACACGTGGATGGAGCACTACCGTCAGATTCATGTCAAAATATTTACACATTGAATATGACACTGGGCTCCTCCGAATAAACCGGGCAAAGTCATCCAAAAAAGCTCCATATTTTCCGCCATTCAACTCACTCTTCCCTAAAAGTACAACGGCCCTTGTAATTCATTACCTCCACTAAAATCTCCTTTATCCATTGATTACAACCCCACACAAACCTGTCATTCTCCCTTTCCCTCCCCCACAAACATATAACTACCCAAACGTGGGACCGACTCAGCCGTCAAGAACATGCACGACCCACAGAGACATTCATCGGACCCTCCCCTCACCTTCTCTTCGAGACTGAAGACGGCGTCCTCGACCTCCTCGTCGGCGTCTTCGGCCGCCTCGCGGGCCTCCAGGTCCCGCAGGTACATCGGGTTGTCCACCTCTAGTTTATCGCTGCGCATCCGTGTGTGGGTGAACGGTTTACTGCGGAGAACGGGAGAGTATGGTCAGGTCTTTGGACTGCAGTCAGACAACTGGCCTTACAAAACCTACCCACAAGTCTCAGTACCCTGTCCTGTCCTTACATCTGGTCCCCTTCCACTGTCCGTTGTCCTGCTCAGTAGCCGGCACCCTATCCGCTCCCTTCCCAACCCCCACCCAATTGCCGTCCCCGCGGTCACATGCCTCGTTCACTTTTCCAGTTCCTGTATCCAGTCCACCCACCCAGTACCCGACCTCCATCCCATCATCTTGCTCGATCCCCGTCCCCACAGTGTTCTATCACCCGACCCAGTCCCTGTCCCGTCCTCCAGCCCATTTATCTCACCCGTGTCGTTTTCTCCACACCACTGCGGCCGTGATGGCCAGTATGAGCAGCACCAGAGCGACGGCCACGGCGGCACCAGTGACCACAGAGCCGCTCGAATGGTCGTCCGCGGCGCCGGCCCGCCAGCCGGGCGCGCGGGTGGCGCAGCGCAGTCCGACGTACCCGGCAGGGCAGCTGCGGGGGGGGGGAGGTGTGAGACAGAGGCGATGTGAACCGGAGAATGAGACATAAAGCAACGCTTCAGTTTAGTGTCAGAATATTCCCTCTAACATTCTTAAACTACAGGGCTGACATGTACCGATTGTAGTGTCAGAATATTCCTCCTAACATTCTTAAACTGCAGGACTGACATGTACCGAACGACAAAGTCAAACATCAGTAAACATGGAGTACCTCTCCACAGTCCCCAATCGCCTGTAAAGTATAGGTAGGCCTCAGACCCCGCCCCGTTCACCCGTCCGGCGGATCCGATACTCACTAGCAGGTGGGCATCTTGCCCTCTCCGGCGCTGGGCGCCAGCTGGCAGGTGCCGCCGTTGAAGCAGTAGTGTTTGCAGGACTTGGGCCGCTCGCAGCGGTCTCCTCCCCAGCCGGTGAGGCAGTGGCAGACGGCGCCGGCCGGCGTGACCTCACAGGTGGCTCCGTGGAGACAGAGACCGGTGCGGCAGCCGCCGGCCGAGTCAGGGCTGACCTCGCAGTGCGCGCCAGAGTAGCCGGACGGACACCTGGTGGGGAGGGGAGAGGTCAGCAGGGCGCAACGTGGAGACTGGAGATACCTGACGGGGAGTGAAGATCAGCAAGGCACACTATGAAACACATAGCGGGGGAAGAGGGGAGTCGTCTGCTCGATACCAGACCAACCACTGAGAGCCACAGATGAAGGAAAGTTGGGTGGGGCAAAATTAGATATGGGTCTTGACGTACTGTATGACCTCGGTTGTATCGGTCTTTGGCAACCCGCTCCTCCTCTACCTTCGCTCTAAATCCCTCCCAGCCTCATCGACAGCCCGAAGTTTGGTCCGTCTCCCAAACCCATCATGGCTCCCTATCCCCTCATCAGCTGCAGAGTCGACCAATACCTTGCCTCTTTCCCTCTATTTCCCTCCTTCCATCCATCTCGCCCCCCTCTTCCCGTACCTGCAGACGGAGTGTCGGTCCGTATCCTCGCACGTTCCGCCGTTCAGACAGAGCAGACTGCCATCTGAACAGGTAAGTGGCGGCAGCACACTGTCACAGAGACGCTCTGGCCGCGAGGTACCTGGGGTAGAACGGGGGGAGGGACACTGTCATATAGACGCTCTGGCCGCGAGGTACCTGGTGGGTAGAACAGGGGAGGGAACACTGTCACATAGACTCTCTGACGGGAGGTACCTGGGGTAGAACAGGAGAGGAGGGAACACTGTCAAAGACGCTCCAGACCGGGGGAACCTGGTGGGTAACAGGGGAGGGATAAGTCAGCACTGGTGGGTGGGACAAGTGACTGCTAGAAACTGGGCTTTATTAAGTAGCTGCAATTAGTGGCATGCAAGGCATATGACCTGATAAAGCCGGAGTACAGCTGGAGGAAAGGAGTGAGCGACGGTAAGTCGAATTTAGAAACATGGACAATGCGACACGCCAGTCGGGTATTTGTTCCATGAAAGTTCCCCGGCTATGGCCGTTTGGACTGACAAGTATTTGAGAGCCATCTTATTCCACTGAGCCAGTCATGCTATCATGTTACAATTAAAGCACAGGTGTCTATCTATACGACCCCAGGCCCCAGCCCCCGATACTTGTGCGGGTCACCCTCCTAAAACGGCCTTAGTGATCTACCTGGCACCCAACGATCTCAGTGAGTTACTGTCGGTGTGTCAGTGACATAGTATCGGTGTCTGTTGTCAATGTCACCCACCTGGCGGGCAGCTGATGCAGTCGTCGCTCGCACAGCCCGGAGAGCAGGTGCACAGGTCGATAGCACACCGTTTGCCGCCGAAGCGCGCGCTGCAGCTGCACTGAGGACCGGCCGCCGTGGTCTGACAGGTACCTGGGGGGACGGAGAGGCGGTCACGGGAAACGCATGGGGTAAAGTTGAGGCAATGTCACAGGCTAACAGATAAAGTCACACAGTCTGACACAACAATGAATGCACGTACCCCTCTAGAAACGTTTGAGAGCGGTAGCCGCATTGGACCGCCGGCGCATCGGTCAACCGAGTCTGCCTCCCACACACTCAGTTATTATGTTCCCCTCCCCGCAGCTGGGTGCGTCTGTTCCTCTCTATAGGCGGCCCAAGTTGGCCTGTCATCCTCCTAGGACCAGAGAGCCTTCCCCTCGGCGACCCTAGAAGGTCTGTCCCCTCCTCCCCTCCAAGGCCTAGCGGGTCAGTCCCACCCCCGCGGCCCCAGCAGGACCGTCCCACCCCTTCCGAAACCTCAGCTGGTCAGTCCCTCTCTCTCCTCCAGCCAACCCTCACCTCCGTGCAAACAGTAGTCGCCGAGCTGCTCCGAGTGGCAGGCAGCCCCCGCCGAGTCTCCGTCGTAGGTGCATGTCGGCGTGCCGTCCACCATAACACACTTCCCTGTGAGGGAAGGGGATGAGACAGTGGTGTCAGCCGGGGCAGGACCTGTGTGATCAATACAGAGCTGTAGAAAGGGAGTATTCACATGCGACGTTCTAAAGTTAGCAAATAATGGAGCATTCCGGACAGCCATGAGTGAAAAGATTTTCTGGTGCCTGTCGAGGAGAGGGGCAGCACATCGAGCAACTACAATTGTCAAATGTCAGCTGTGTAAAATTTATATCAGTGAGTTTAGAGCTGTTCTCACCGTGTTCATACCAAGAGTGCAAAGCTGTTCTAACCGCGAGTAGGAAGCTGTTCTTACCGTGAGTACGGATCTATTCTTACGTAATGCTCTGTTCTCACTGCCTGTGCGGTAACGTTCTCACTGTGTGCCCCGATTCAGTTCTCACCGTGAGCGCAGGGCTGCGCACTGCAGTCGCCGGTCTCACAGTAGGGCCCGCTCAGTCCCGGCGCACACTGACACTCAGCCACGGCCGTGGTCGGGTCACGGTGGCACGTACTGTTCCCGTGACACTCGTGGTCCTCACACTGCTCGCACAGTCGACCTGGCACACGACAGAGAGTGTCAGACACGACGCGCACTGTGTCAGAGGACGACAAAAGTTAATATGTACTATCTGACACACGGCAGAAAGCCACCCAGTGGCAGATGGACTGACAAGGGCAATCACAATTTAATGGTCTCTATCCACATGAGCATACGAAGGGTTACAGGATATAAATGGTAACTTTTTTCTGTACTCTTTACTTACGCCCATTTATCTATACTCTCTTATTCAGCCTCCCTCCCTTCCTCCCAATCTCATCGCTCCCACTCTCACCGGTGAAGCCGTGCGGACAGAGGCAGGTGTCTCGGCCGGCCGGCCGGCTGCACGTGCCACCATTGAGACAGGTCAGTCCGTCTGCGCAGGGACTGACGGGCGTCTCACACCGGTCACCCGTCCAGCCCACCAGGCAGTTACACTGTGGACATAGGCGGCGGTGTCAGTGGCGCAGAGGAGACGAGCGGTGACGCGGCGCGGTCATAGAGACAATGGCGTACACCGGGGCAACGGTCAGTGAACAAGTGACAGTGGGGGTAGAAAGAGATGAATTGCAAAGCTGTCAGCCAATGTGAGAATAGTATGGGTTACGAAATGTTTAAGTGAAATTGCTAAGCGAGCAGTTACGTGTTTATTTTTATGTATTATTATTATTGTTTTATTAGTTTATTAGATTATTAGCGGAATATGATTGGGCAATTATTCGAGCGTGTAAGCCCGTCCAAGAGTAAGTAAAATTTTGTCGCATGCGCTTACGCTTCAAGGTTAAAGAGTTAATGATGTATTGTCTGTTTAGACTGTTTGAGACGGATCGAAAATAGCAACACACGTTCAAATTCCAACACACCAACTCAAAGTTAAAAACCTCTAGCGATTTGGTTTCGTGAGAGTCCATTGTCAAATCCAGACTTTAAAATCCCAGGGCACCGTCATACACACTGTCTTCAATCCCTTTGAGTCGCTCCATTGTCCTCGTCTAAAGCCTCAGTCCATAGCGTGGAGGCGGGATGGGGGCCGGTGGGGTACCTCTGTAGGTGAAAAGGTGTCAGTTCGGGATCTCTTTATCTCAATCTCTATTCAGAATAAGGTCTCTACGAGTCCTATGCCTTCATATCTCTCTCGATACTTTCGAGCACTTCTGTCCAGAATCGCTGTAGTCTGTCGGGAACCTTGCGTCTGACTGTCTCGGTGGGGGTTTCCGCCAAGTCTCTGTCGATTGCCCGTCCACTGTATCACGGCAGTCTAGGTCTCGTCGGAGAGGACGTCTCCTGCACTGTATCAGTTCAGAAGGTGTCTCTGTCCCGTCTTTAGTCCGCTGTCTCCAGCAGTGCGTCTCAGTCTGTCGGGAGTGTCTCTCCTGGGTTGTCTCAGTTCCGTCTACAGTCCGCTGTTTCACAACAGTGTCTCAGTCACGTCTGAGAGGGTCGGCCCGGTGGTGTCTCTGTCCTATCGGTGCGGGTCTCTCCTGCAGTGTCTCTGCCCGGTCGGGGAGTGTCGTCCCGGCCCGGCGGCGCGCTCACCGCCAGCTGGGAGGCCTCGAGCAGGTTCTGGTAGCAGTGGCCCTTGTTGGCGCAGTAGCCGGCACAGCGATCCCGCTCACACTGGGCGCCCGTGAACAGCGGGCTGGTGCAGATGCACTGCGGACCGGGCGCGCGGCGCTCACACGCGGCTCACATAACTCACAGCAGCTCACAACACTTGTACGCGGCTCACAGCGGCTCACGGCAGCTCACATAACTCACAGCAGCTCACAACACCCACACGCAGTCCACACAAGATTCATAACACTCACAGTGACTGACACACGACTCACAACACTCACAGCACCTCACTCAACACTCACAGCACCTCACACAAAACTTCAACATCAACAGCAGCTCACACCACTCACCGCAACTCAAATACGACTCACAGTTCAAGTACTCAGAGCAGCTTCCTGAAAGTGAATCATTGACAAATCTATACGACACAGGGCCTCACCCTATCCGAAACTGTACATTTTGTTGTGAAAGAATTATCTGTTTCGTTAATAGTCTGCATCGCCATTAACGCCAGCCCGTCTCCAAAGCGTGGAGCGTGCCACACCGGTTACCAATTGTTGCCAACACCGAAGTTACCCGTGGCGCCCAGAGGACTCAATTATCTCCTGTCGCGCCTGTTAGAGCACAGTTCAGCGGAAACGTCCCACAACTGTTGGACATCTCCTCAGACGATATTTACAGAGCCTTGACATAAGGGACACATAAGAAATACACATGCCAAGAAGCCACAAAAGATGAACGTTACATGAGCACGAAATAAAGGGACAAAAATGCGAAAAACTATTGAAAGTAATCAGAACTTAAACTGTTGTTATTGAACCTTACCAATCGTCAATAGAAACGTTGCTATTTTACAAAGCATCGTCAAAATTAAAAGCAGCAAATTCACAGGTCATTCTTATGCTTACAAAGCATACGGAAAAACCTACATTTATCATATTCTATGTATATGTCCCGCGGACCAGAATCCAGTCTCCCCTTCCCTCCCTATCCACCCTGGCCTAAGGGTAGGGAGGGCCGAAATCCCTCCCCTCCCTCTCCCCGTCCGGACTAACCTGAGGACCGCGCGGGCCGTGCTGGCAGTATCCGTGCTCTCCACACTGCAGGTTACACGGCAGCACGGGCTGACGGGCCACTGCCACGCACTGTCCGGCGCCACCTCGACCGTCTCCGCCCTGTACCCGCTCTGTGCCGTCCACACAGACGCAGACACGGCGCTTGTTGGAGGCGGCAACACACAGCTCGTTGGGGCCGCACGAGCCGGCCACGCACGGCGAGCTCACTGGAGACAGAGAGGGGGGAGAGGGGGTCAGAGTCTGCCAATTACTGCAGTGAGAGAGGAGAGGTCAGAGGGGGCCAGAGGGTCAGTGGGGTGGGGGGGAGGGGGGCTCAGGAAACATCACAGCGGTCAGAGAGAAGGGGTCTATCACTACGGAGACAGAGAGATAGAAAGTGCGGAAATAGGCCGCGTATTTGATGTGACAGCGAAGGGAAGAGATCGGAGAGCTGGCGATCTCCGACACCACTGTGCTTCATAACTTCTGGATACGACAGGCAGCCCAAGGTGGGGAGCAAGTGACCGGTGAGGTGCTGTTGAGCACAGCCTTAGTAGTTGGTGCGCACCATACGCCGTGTATGGGCGTGCTCGTCCTCAATATTTCAGTATGCGTGGGTGAGTCATCCTGCCGTTATACAGAGGGCGTGGCCGTCCTGCCATATTGCAGTGGGCGTGGTCATCCGCCTCACCACCGACCACCAGGCTCATTGTCGGGTTCCATAAATGGCCTGTCGTCCCCCGTGACCCGGAGCGGAGGTTCAGCACCGCCCGGAGCGGATGGACACTACGGACAGGTGCCTCTACGTCTACAGGTTGGCTGGCGTGCGGTCGTTCCGTTAGCGCAGTCGGCCACGCCCGGCACCATTGATTTTAGCCGCAGTCGGCCGACCAGAGCCTGTCCCCAGTTCCAGTGAGGGACCACCAGCCTCGGCACCTGTAATGGTAGCAATGTGCACCTACCGACCCGACCAGCGCGGGTTTCAGACCACTACCGTGCAGCAATGCTGAGCAGAAAAGCCATTGAAAAGATCTCACCTGGACTCCAAAGTTGTGACTTACATAATGCCACTAAGCATTCATGCAATCGATGCCAGATTTCTTTTTAAAGGGGCAGCAACTGGCAGCAGCCCTCAATATGAAACAATGATATGTTGGGGCTGTGTGCCATGATGATATGATGCAGGCCAGAACAAAGAACCCGACATGGCCAACCGGATTTCGGTCCTCGCCGCTGGCTTGCAGTAGCCATTTTTTGTTCTAGATAGTCACCGATTCCGAAAATTGCAGTGGTTCCGACATGCAACATCGGCTACCGATGCCATGCATTTGGCATTTTCGGGCCGCGTGTTAGCAACTTGAACAGACTATCCTCAGCCATGAAACTGACTGCCGAAAAATGCCGGTGCCGGTCACTACACGTATTGGTGTGCTAGTCCGACGTTCCTCACCCAGCTATCGTGTCTGAATCCGACACGAAGTCCGACAGAGCTCGCAGAATCGAGCTGGCGCCGGACACCGATCGCACAACTATCTGACACAGCAGAACTGACAGTCTAGCTGCAGTGACACATCGGGAGTTCGTCTGGCACATGATTATAAATACCTAGCACTAAATGGCGTGATCGCCGACCGGTACAGCATTCATAGCCAGTTTCAGGTACTAGTCTGACCTTCGGTCTGGGTTCACACTTCACCTCTGGTCCCGGCACCGGTTCGTCCGTATGTCAGTCTGGGAGTCCGTAAGGATCGTGAGACCGATAATATTTATCACAGCTGAACGCATGTCCATGTTCCTTCAGTCGCACGCTCCCTGCGGTACAGCTCGCCGACAAATACTCATTTCTACCCTCTATCTGCACTCTAGTCTCGCCATCGCTTCTCATCGCCATGGCAATCCCACCGCTCCATAGCGGCAAAAGCCACAGACCAGACACCAGCGGCGGGATGTCTGACTTGTCATTTGTGTCAGCTCCACAGAGGCACAGACCACCCCCGCAGCGGCCGGTAGCTGACCTAAGCTCCCCCTCCCGCCCCTCGCATGGAGTAAGACCTAGAACCGAGAGGTCTGCAGCAAGTATCTTCTTACGTCTTCGTCACCACCTTTCGGCTTCAGTCCAAACCCTGTCCCCATATCCGTCTCTGTCTCCGTCTATGAGTCTGAGTCCGTCTGTCTTTCTCTCTGTCTGTTTCCGACCCGTTTAGCTACGTATCAGTCTGTCTCCGTCCCAGTCTCCGTCTCTGTTCTAGTTTACGTCTCAGTCTTCATCTCTTTCCCATTCTACGTCTCCGTCTCTACCTCCATCCCCGTTCCCGCTCCGTCTCCGTCGCCATGACAGCATTCACAGGTGTGTGTATCGTGGCGCTGAGCCAACGGCGACGGCGGCCGGCCGACGGCGGCGCAGTTAGAGACTGGGCCGGGCGCGTCCGCTGTCCCCCGCTGACCTGACAGCAGGGGACAGCTGACCTGACTATCGCCGCCGTCACCAACAGCCACCGGCGTGCCAACCTGTCTCATTGGGAGCACACCGGGCGACAGAGGGTCCGGGGAATTTTCCGTCATCCGGCATCCGTCGTCCGTGTGATGATATACGTAGATGATCCGTTTACACTTTCGAAGAGGTCATATGATCATTGATTATGCTCAGGATGTAGCCAGCCAATGCCATGAGTGTCATTGGCTTCTATCTCCTCCGACCGGACTGGCAGACCGATGAAGATCAGCATTTGCGTCATCCGGAGGTGGCAGGGCCAGATAGAGTTCAATAAGCGCCGCAGCAGCTAGGAGGCTATCCCACCTCCCGTGATGACCTGTGTGGTCTCTGATTTGGACCACTGCCGTGACACACCAGCCCCGCTCTGGTGCCTGATTTGAACTGCTGTCGTAGCAGACAAGCACCCCGCTCAGTGAAAGTCTGATTTGGACTGATGCAATGGCAGCAGAACAGCCCTACTCTAAAGAGGTCTGATTTGGACTGCCGCCGCAGTAGACCATCCCCGCTCTGGGGCTGTGTTGGACTGCTACCACAGCAGACTAGCCCCACCTAGCAGCAGTAGTGTCGACAGATACGACCGACATTGCTGACCTAGCAGGATCGGACACCTCTCGTCAGCGGTACTAACCGGAAAGGTGGGCTCCTCAGGGAGCACAAACAGAACGGTCGGCGCTTCTGTGGTCAGCGTATCCGCCAGTGTCACATTTTTTTTTTCAGGTGAGGTTTTTTATATTCACAAAAAGTACAATCATACTCTGCTCAACACATGAACACACACACACTGCAACCAAACAAACAAACATATGCATCGCCACATAAGCAACTTTCTTCTCCATGCCTCCTCTTGGCACATCGGGCTTTACACAGCACCACAAAGCATTAAAGTACATCGATGATCGGCAGCCATATTTGCTGGACAACAAGTTCTCTCCCTGTTTTCGCTGCTATATATTTCTCTACGCTGAAATATTTTTTCAGGTATACCTTAAATCTGTTTAAACTTGGTTCCGCGCCCAGGTTCCTACATTGCCATATAAATAGCTTTCCATGCATAATACACGTTTGAATAGCCTCGACATCGATGCTGTCGGTTTGTCTATGCCACAGCCCTGTTATTATGCTTTTCAAAGTGAAATATCCTATTAATCCTAGCCTATCTCTGAGGCACAACCAAAATGTTTTTGCTCGGGGACAGTCCCAAAAAATGTGAGCCAAAGTCTCTCCCTGTGATTTACAATGCACACACGCATCATATTCCTTTACCCCATACAGCCTTAATAGTCTATTTGTTGGAAGTATTCGATGGATAATGCGAAATTGAAGCCACCTTAGCTTAAAGTCATCCGTCATTCTGTGCACTAGACCATAAACGTCTTTCCAGGATGATTTAGACATCTGTCCGAGCTGTCTTTCCCATTTCCGTTGTGCTTTATCAGGCAATGCTTCCTGTGTCTGAGTCACAAGAATATCATAGCTCCATTTCGAAGTACGACATTTCTCTTCTAACACACTAAATTGCTCTGGCTGAACACTTCTCAATGGTTTGTCTCTCCTAAGTATTTCCTTCCATTGTCTCGGTATTACGCTTAGCAAAGTTTCCCATGTCAAAAATGATCCGAAGTTGTACTTTCTCTGTAGTGCAATGCCGCTCATCAGTGATCGTTCTGAAACGCAATACAAATCTTCTATCTTTGCGATGCCGATTTTTATGAGGGCCTTTTTGTTAACGTGTTCTTTTGTTTCCAATCGAAGCATATGATTATGCCACAAACTTATTCCTAAAATATCACTTCCTGTCACAATTGAGCATTTATCTTTCTCAATCACCTTCCAGGCATCATAACATTCCGACCAAAAGTCGCTATTGAGATGTTTCTTCATGCTAGATGATGTTTCCATACAGTGAGCAACTGACAAATGATGGTTAATGAACAACTTGTGTCTCATTACCTCTTTCCATTTACTTTTGTGATCATGATTCAGTAACCTTTTGATCCATGGAATTTTAAGACTGTCTGCCTGCAGAGATACGTCTGGTACGTTTAGCCCACCACAATCATACTTGTTTTTCATTATCGATCGTTTTATCCTGTCTCTCTTTTTATTCCATATAAATTGAAACATGATGGTTTCTATTTTTTTTATCAGCTCTGGTCTGGGTTTTGCCAGAACCGACATCAAGTGAATTAGTTGCGACAATGCTTCTGATTTCAGTAGGTATATTTTACCGAACGGCGTTAGTCCACGGCCAAACCACGGTGAAAGTCTTGCTTCTAATTTACGTATTATATCGGGGTAGTTCAATTGTTCTAAGCTGTCACTTTCTGTACCTATCTTTACACCCAGATATTCAACAGGCGCCTTTTCCCACGATATTCCAAATTCTTTGCCTATCTTGTCTTCACGGTGTCTGTACGCTCCAATCCACATAGCGTGCGTTTTTTCATTATTCAACTTGAGACCAGTTATCGTTCCAAAGCTTTGAATGCACTGAATGCTCGCATTTAACGATTCATCTGACCCATCTAACACTAACGTGGTGTCATCTGCATATGAACTGATTTTGACTTCTGTATCTCCAAAGGAAACCCCCTTGATGTTCTGACTTGTCCTAATAAGATGAGATAATGGTTCGATTGCCAACAAAAACAAGTAGCAACTAAGCGGACAGCCCTGTCTCAACCCGACATTTATGGTATATTCCCTGGACAGGTGGCCGTTTACATGAACACG